GGGGCGCGGTGCGGGGCGTGCAGGAGCACGGCCCCAAGGTCCGGCAGGAGCAGGGCCTGGCCCGGCGGGCGCAGCAGGAGCGCGGCGGGGGGCGGCGGGACGCGGCGAGCCCCCCGGCCCGTGCCCGCTGGTGGGTGCGGAGGGGCCGGCAGGAGGAGGGAGAGGCCCGGGGCGGAGTGCAGGAGGAGGGCGAACTCTACCCGGGGGAGCAGGAGCACCCCGGCGGCAACCCCGGCACGCGGACCCCGGCACACCGCCTGAGCCGCAGGAGGTCCGCCCGGGTGTGAGGCCGCACCCCGTGCCCGGTGCCCGCTGCCCCGGGGGTGATCCCAGCCGCGTCCCGGACGTCCCCGGCGTCGATCGTCGCACCCCGCCCCGGCAGGTGTGCGGGCTCGTCTCGCCTGGCATGCCGGCTGTCTGGAGTGCCGCCGTGCCCGTCCTCGCCCTCCGGTGACGCTGCAGACTCGGCGCAGGATGCGGTGGCAGTGGCGGTGAGCGCAGAGGTAAGGAACGAGGCGCGACCCCATGGCTGGGGGTGTGCGAGGGGCAGGGGGGTTCAGGGCTTGGCACGGTGCTGCTGCCCGGTTGACAGCTGAGTGTGCCGGTGTGTTGGCACCGTGCCCCGCACTGCTGCGAGCTGCGGTGCTTCCCTCGTGCCCAAGCACTGCGGGACTGCTCAGTCGCGGCCGGCAGCAGGCCCACCTCCTGCTCCAGCTGCCAGGGCACAGCAGGGTCTGCTGTGAGTGGGTGCCTGGTGCCCTTGAACTCTCCTAAACCACAGCGGAAGCTGGGGGAAGGTTTTTTTTTTTTTCCCGGAGAAAAGGCAGCTTTGCTCTTCCTCTTCCCTGGGCTCGTGGGAGCTGTGGCACTGAACAGAGGATCCTTGTCCTCCGGGGCCAGCGCCGCGCCTCGGGTGTTGTACTGCGGCCGAAACCCCGGGCAGCAGTGAGGTGCAGGGAACCTCTGACCTCTGGCCCAGCATGCAGCATCGTGGCTGTGTCCAGCCGTGTTGTGGCAGTTTTTCTCTGAACAGTCCAGGACCGTTTGGAACTCTTGGTCTTTGTTGGTTTTGCTTTTTTAAATAAAAGTTTTAAGTTAAACTTGGTAAGGTGGTGCTGACAGTCCAGACAAGGATCCCACCATGCCAGGCAAGTCCTGCTCAGCTTCTCACAGTATGATTAGATCCCTTACCCACTCTGAAGCAGCAGCTGGGAAGGAGGTTTGGAGGTGGCCAGAGGAGCCCAGGCAGGGACAGTGTCTCTGTCAGCAGTGCTGGGGCTTGGCTGTCTGGGCAGGACAGGCTGGGGCAGAGCCTGGCGCTGGCACTTCCCCACGCCCTCACCTCCCTGGGGCCGCTTGGTGCAGCGGGTACACCGGGATGTCCCAGTGCTGCTGGGCTCCAGCACCGGCTCAACACCTTGCAAAGGGTGTCCCTCTTACCAGGTACTGTGTGTTCTGGAGGTTGTGCATTCTCCCCTCTTACTCAGCTGTTCATTGAGCTGGCTCAGGGAAAAGCTTTCAACAAAATTTTTGGGCTATGGGCTTTGCAAAAGTCTCCTAGGAACAGGGCCTGCCTTGTGAAGTGTCTTTGAGCGCAGGCACCCCTTTAGGGAGAGGGTCCAGGACAGACCCTGGGTGCTGCACTCCCATGCTCAGCTGCAGCCCTGCTCCCACGGCCAGCCCTGAGCCCACAGGTGCCCGCAGGGAGTGGGGGGGTAGAAGCAGCTTCCGCATCCCCCGTCGGGCCGCGCCGAGGCCTGGGGGTGCAGGGTGGGAGCTGTGCAACCTGTTACCAGCCCCTGGAGCTACCAGAGCCTCCTTAGCCAGGTATTTGTTAGTGCAGGGTGGGGTGTAGTGGGTATGGCTGGGGGGGCTGGCAATGCCTTCCTCCTCAGGCAGCTGCCAGCCTGCTGTCCCACTGTGACTCAGCCTCCCCGGGGCAAGAGGGCCCTCATAAGCAGAGGAGCAGCCCCCACAGGACCATGAACTACTGTGAGTTAGTAATCGAGCCCCATCCTAACTGCAGGCTAGACTTGACACCATGCCTTAGTTTCCACCCAAGAAGTCCCATCCTGCCCATGGAGCCACCTGGGTTTTGCCTTCAGTTGTGTCCATGGGGGATGATAGCTGTCAGGGGCAGAGCATCCTGGGGAGCATTGCCCACTTGCATGGGTTTTGGGGGACAGGAGGAGGTTCTGCTTCATGCAGACTGTGCCAGGATAGGAAGACTTAGGAGAAAGTCTTGTTCCATCCCTTTGCTGAGCAGCCCTGGGGGAGGGCCACTACTCCCACTGCAGCCTGGCTAATTACGGAGCTGTCAGTTAGTGCTAATGACTGGCAAATACTGAATGGTCTGGCTAGGATGCTGTGATGCTGGGGAAGTGCAGGGATTGAGCCTTCATCCCCCCCTTCCGGCTCTAGGGGTCCCAGCTCACTGCTCCCAGCCCAAAGGGGAGATGCTGCTGTGTGGATGTGGCTTTGTGTCAATCTGGCCTGAGACCTGACAAACTCGTTTTGTGCCAGCTGCAGCCTGGCCCAAGGACACATCCTGTACTGGGGTGGAGATGGGGGTACTGCTGGCAGCACCCCAGGGGTGGAGGAGCAGGTTGGAGCAGGGCTGGGGGTGTGTCCTGGTGCCCCCCTTCCCTGGCAGGACTGGGGGCAAAGCTCTCCTGGGGGGGCAGGTCCACAGAGGCTCTTCCAACTGGCTTGGCAGAGCAGGTCATCACTCTGGATGCAGAGACACTTCCCATACCTTAGCCCCCAAGAAGTCTGGAGTGTGTGGGGTAGACAGATGGGGGTGCCAGGCAGGGATGCCCATTCTGAGTTCTCCCACTTTGCCCCAGGGGGATCCTGTGACCAGTGTCACCTGAGCCCTGACGTTTTGCCACCTCGCACACTGCCCAGTTCACTGCGACACGGGCTGGCACTGCTAAGGGATCCCCACAGTGCTGTCCCTGTGGCCCAGGTGAGATCACTGTGGGAGGCTGGCAGGCACAAACCAGCCTTGCATCGGGGCAGGGTGACAGGATCCCTACAGTGGCAGTGACACCAGGGCTCAGTGATGCCAAGCCTGCTGCCCTCTCCACCTCCCCAGCAATGAGGGTGCCAGGGACTATTGCTTTGTGTGTTTGTCCCCCAAAACACTGCACTGTGACCCTGCCTTGGTGGGAGAGCTTGGGGCTGAGGTGAGGATCAGTTATGGGTCAGTAATTGCTGCCCATGCCGGCGACTGGGAGGTGCAAGACAAGCTAAGCCCGCCCCAGCTCGACCTGCGGAGCGGATTTAGCAGAGGAAAGAGGCTTAGGGAGGGGATTGGGGCTGTGCTGGGATGGGGGGGCCCCCACGTGCCTGTGCCTTTCCTTCCCACACATCCACTGCTGCAGGCAGGGGCTCAGAGCAGGGGATGCTCTGTGCTGGGGGACAGGGTCAGGCCATGGGGCCAGGCTCTGGGAGCCCAGAGATGGCAGCGAGGAGGAACCTGGCATCCCGGCCTCCCCGGCCACCCCTGCCACAGGGGTCACCGGCCCTCCTTGCTGGCCCCCCGAGACCTCCTGCTTGCTCCATCCAGCCAACCAAGCAGCATCAGGTGCCAGCGCCGAGGGAGGTAAAGCACCCACTGGTATGGGGGTACGTGGGGTGGCACAGTCCAGTGAGGGGCTGGGGGCAGTCCCCAGGGAGCTGGGTGGCAGCAGCATCCCACAGATGGGCAGGATGCAGGCAGCAGCCCTGCCTCTGGTGGGAGCGGGGTGTGTTTGTACGCGTGGATGTGTGTGTGTCTGCACACCTGCGCTGTGGCAGCCCGGCTGGGGAGTGTGTCACCACAATTTGGGGCCGCCCTCGAGGCCCTGCCAGGGCTGAACAAGCCAGCCCGGGGTGACGGTGCGGCTGCCCTGCTGCCGCCGCAGTCAGTGAGATCACTTCCAGGCGACACAGCTGCCAGGAAGGTGGCAGGAAGGTGGCAGGCGGGCACCATTTGTGAGCACGGTGATGTGATGGAGGTGAGTGGGAGACCCTATCCTCTTCTGGGAGCTTGTTTTGGGCACCCAGCACTTTCTGGGGCTCTCGGTGTGGGGTGGTGGGCATAGGGGATGCTGTGGCACTGATCCCAGGAATGTGGGGCCAAGTGTGGTGTCCCATAGGGCTGAGGAACGCCAGTGTCCCCACAGAGGGGAGAGACACCTTGTGTTCAGTGTTACTGTCACACCCTGGACGGTAGAAGACAGTGCACCCCATCCAGCGGTTTTCATTGTGGTGGGACCCCCCTCAGGGTGGGAATTGCAGGGAGGTGAGTCCAGGCTGGCAGGGCACAATGCCGTTTGTCCCCTTGTACAATACCTAATAATTTTGTCAGTTAAGCCTGGGCAGACGAGGACCCGACGTTTCTGCGGGGGGTGTGACCTAAATCCGTGCCCGAGGCTGTGGGGACATGGGCTGTCCCTACTCATCCCCACAGCATCGCCATCCCTGGGCAGGCTGGTGAGGGTTTTGGGGTAGCACAGGGCGGCTGGGTCCGGAGGGAAGGTGGCATAGCACGTGCATCAGTCACCGTGCCGTGGCGTGCCAGCGCGGTGACGCCGGCGGGCCGTGCGCGGGGGCGGCTCGCTGCTCCCACGCCGCAGGCCCGGCCCGCCTCGGCTCCGCGGCTGAGCTCACCTCCGTGGTATGGCAGGAGGAGTCGCCAAGGGGCTGTTCCCGCCCGGCCCCCCGGGACTGGGGCTGTTTGTTTCTCTGGAGCAGAGAGAGGGGAAGAGGGAGCAGGACACGCTCTTGCCCCCCTGCCTTGGCGCTTTGACAGCCTGGTGTCACTCCTGTTGCTACACCGGGTCTGCAAGGCTCTGTGGGGAACAGTGATGGGTCGTGGGGGTGCTTCTGGGGGTTCATCATACCCTGTGGCGTTGGCATGAGGAGCAAATGGCTCCCTGGGGACTCTGCTGTGCCCCAAAACATAGGCAG